ATATCACGAATTATCGTGATATTTTTGGGAAAAAATCGTAATATATCACGATACGAAATTTTTGCCGATACCCATCCCTAACGCTTGGGTACGTCCTTTGAATCCTCTAATTTTGTGTATTGAATTAAGCAATAAACAGATAATGAGCAATGTAATTAAGAAATGCACATAAACCTTATTTTAATTTATTAAAGCTGAATTGGATGTCATTGAAATAGCTCAAATTTATTATTTGGATACCTAGAGTTTCCTTAATTGGGGTTCTTGGTATCCTTTTGTGTACTAAAATATGCAATAAACAGTTACTAAGTTATTTAGAAAAGCATTAAAACCATTTTTAGATTTATAAAGGTCAAACTGGATGTCCTTGGAATATTTTGAGATATTTTTGGGGTTACCCTGGGATGTCCTTGTGGTAACTTAAGGCTATCCACTGGTTCTTATGTAGGTATCATTATGTTTTGTGTATTGCACTATATACAATAATCAGTTACTATGTCATTTACAAATGCAAATATAAACCATATTTACATGGTGTCATTGAGATATTCCTAGGGTACTTTTGGGTATTCTTGTGGTACCTTAAGCCTTGGGTATTCTTTGGGTTTATGTGAGTTTCCAGTGGTTCTGTGTATTGAAATACACCATTCATAGTTAACAGGATTATTTTTTTTACACCATATAAAATATTATTAAAGCTTAATTGTATAAGTATACTTGTTATTTTTATCTTGGATAACTGCTCTGTTTAGGACAATTAAAGTATTAATTTGCCCTTTAAAAACATTTTTTGTAGTTTACAAGTGCATATAAACCATATTTATAATAATTAAGGTTGTATATGGTGTCCCTGGGCTACCTTGTGGTATCCCTGGGGTTCCTTGTGGTATCCTTGTGGTTCCTTGTGGTAAAAAGACGCACCCTAGTTTTACATAGGAAAATAGACACAGAAAACATAGGAAAAAACTTTCTCAAGAACAGGAAAACCATGTAAATTCATATTTACATGAATTAATCCTTACGTAGTGTAAATTCAAGTATGTTCAAATCATCCCCTGGGGAAAGAGTGGGTCACAATGGGGATAAAAGTTTAAGATAGGAATACATAGGAACTACTTTAAAAATTCTCTTTTCAAGAACAGGAAAGCCATGATTAGGCATTTATATGGAAGCATCCTCAGGTAGTGTAGGGTAAAATGGAGCTTCAATGAGTTGTCAAGTTTTTACTTAGGAATATATAGGAAAAAGACTGCTGATGAAAAACAAGAATGGCCATAATTACTCAGGTGAGCATGTGGCCCATTGGCCTCTTGATTCCATATTCACATGATAATGGTAAAAAAGTAACTTGTCTGATCAAACATTGACTTGTCCAATCACAAAATGAACTGGACACAATCTGACACAGCTGGACCTCCACAAAAATAATAACATTTATGTCTCCTTTTGACTAAGATCTGTCTTAAGATCAAAAATTGCACCATTTCACAAAACTGTCATATCTTATGATTATCTTAAGATCTATCGTAATCTTAAGACAACTAGATACCTGTCTTAAGTCTAAAGTGAAACTAGCAACAGTATATCTTTTGGCTAAAAACCAAAGGATATTTAAAGAAAACGGTTTTTAGAGATAGAACAATCCTTTGGACTATATCAAGCCACTCGGAACAATGACACCCCCCCCCCCCCCCATAAATTGCTTCTTAAGGCCATATATATATGTACATGTAAGTAAGATCCAGATATCATATATAACTTTATTCAAAATTGTTTAATTTTGAATTCAATACCCTGCAAGAACATCACAGTTTCTATGACCAAACATTGTTAACTTTATATGCAATTTTTAAAATTGCTAATGTAATTCGAGATACATGTATTTTATTTATTGATATGTTAAGTAAACACATTTTATATATATAAATAAAAATATGAAATATATGCATTTTTATGGATTGGACAAGTCCCTCCCATGAAAGTAAAAAAAAAATTGAACTTCTGTGTTGCTATCTTGCATTTTTAAGACATTCATTATACTTTAATTTATTTTGTTACATTGTGGTGATTTTTTTTTTTTTTTTTTTTTTTTTTTTTTTAGAAATTTGAAAGTTAACATTTCTTTCAGTCTTATCAAGTTAGATGAAAATCAAATAGTTTTAATTCTTGGGGTATCCCTCATTAATCCACTGGAATGTGGATGAAAATTCAATATATTTACTGTTGTAGCATTTGAAGCTGCATGTAGTATACATGCTTTCTTCATGCTTTCTTAATAGCAGTTGAAACTGTAAAATTTTGATTAGAAATTGTACCGTTATTTCATTTCTGAGTTCTGAATCATCTGTTAGCATTGTTTTTTTGTTGCAGTAGTTGAAGCTTTTCAGAGACACCTTCATCGAATTTTATGAACGAATTTCGAACATGATTTGGTGTTTCAAAAGGATTCATTGCTCAAATCATTCATTATTTGCAAAGGTTTAGATACACTAGTAGATTAATTAAAAGTAGTATCACATATGTTTGATCAGCAACTACTATTTTCTGAGCAAAAACACTTTTAAGCAAATTTTATTCAATAATTTTTTTGTGATGAAATTAATTCAAATTTAGTTTTTATGACCCCTACCTCCCCCCCCCCCCCCCAACACACACACCAACACACACACACACATACAAAGTACATTAAAGTTGATGCAATAATGGGCGATCAAAGTTTTACTTAGGAATACATAAGAAAAATCTTTAAAAGTCTTCTTCTCAAGAACAGCAGAGCCATGGTTGGTCATATTTATAAGGAAGCATCCTCAGGTAGTGTAGATTCAAGTTTGTTCAAATCATGACCCCAGGGGGTAGGGTGGGGCCACAATAGGCGATCAAAGCTTTACATAGGAATACATAGAAAAAATCATTAAAAAATCTTCTCAAGAACAGCAAAGCCATGATTGGTCATATTTATATGGAAGCATTCTTAGGTAATGTAGATTTAATTTTGTTCAATTCATGTCCTCAGGGGGTAGGGTGGGGCCACAATGGGAGATCAAAGTTTTGCATATGAATACATCAGAAAAATCTTTAAAAATCTTGTTCTCAAGAACAGCAACCATGATTAGATATATTTATATGGAAGTATCCTCAGGTAGTGTAGATTCAAGTTTGTTCACATCATGCCCCCTGGGGATAGGGTGGAGCCACAATGTGTGATCAAAGTTTAGCATAGGAATACATAGGAAAAAAATCTTTAAAAATCTTCTTCACAAAAACAGCACAGCCATGATTGGTCATAATAATATAAAAACATCCTCAGGTAATGTAGATTTAAATTTGTTCAAATCATGACCCCCAGGAGAATAGAGGGGCCATAACTGGGGATCATAGTTATACAAAGGAATATAAAGGATATATCAATAAAAATGTTCATCTTAAGAACAGCAAAGCCATTATGTGTCATTCAAAAGCATCCCTAGGAACTGAAAATTCAAGTGTTCAAATCACCCCCCCCCCCTTTCCTGGAACCACTTGTACATTTATACTTTTTTATACCGAACTGATTTCTGCTTTTTCCTAGCCAAAGTGCTCAGGTGAGCGATGTGGCCGCTGGGCCTCTTGTTTTTTTGTTGTTTTTTTTAATCAATTTATAAGCTAGTTGACAAAAAGGAAATAAACTGAAGTGTTCATCAGCAAATTTAACCAAAAACAGAGAGAGATCCCTTGAAAACAAGCAATATTAGTAAAAATATATCACAGTCAAGCCTTTGTTTTCACAGTCATTAAAGTGAACAATTAATAAATTAGTGACAATTGAGGATACCTATAATAAGCCTGGAGCCTGGAGATATTTCTCTCTCTATTGATGGCAGAGGATATATTTCTTGCTTCAATGAATAAAATAGTGTAACATACATACATTTTTTGTAAAACTAAAAACTAGATGTGAAGCATTTATATTTTAGACCAATTTTTTAAAATTAAAAAAATGTTCATCTGTTCATATTTAAAACATTTTAAAATCATTTGCAAGAGTCTAACAAAATGTTAATATGATCTTGGCCCTATAGTTGCTTATAATACAATTTTCAGAAAGAAATAAAACTGTTTTAGAACATAATTGTATTCTTTGGAGTCACCAAGTCATACATTATTGTGATCTTTTGAAAGAGCAATTACTGAGAATAGATGGTTTGACATGGTGATGGAATCTGTGACTGTGGAATGACGTATGACATATTTTCCCTTCCGGTTATTCCATTGGCCACCATTTTGAAGGTCAAGCCAGTGAATTTTCTTCTTGTTTGTTTGTTGTTTCACTCATATGGAGATGCCATCACTTCCCAGTGGAGGGCTGCAAATTTTGACCTATACTTGGCACTCATGGCCTATGTGCAGTGACAGATCTTTTTTGTGTCAGCACCTATTGCAAAACCCACGTTTGACATTTCATTTTTATGAACATTTACTGCGGTTTATACAGTCTCATCCAAAGGATGGGTCTCCACATCCTGCAGTGGATTCAAACCCATGACGTAAGGATCTACTCCTTACACTGTGACTCTAGAGCAAGCGCTCTAACCACTGCACCACTCGGGCAACTTCCTCTTTGAGCAACCGATTTTAATAATGTATATCAGAAACACAAGGGCAAAAATCTTTAAAATACTAAAATTATGAATTAAAGGAAGCCTTTGTCAACATATATTCGTAGGAAAAACTGTGCTATCTTCACATTGTCCAGTATGACATGTTTAAATTGGATGAATAATGAAAGAATCTGGGCTTGGTGACCTCTAGTATGGCGACCAAAGGGGAAATAATTCTCGCTAAAATCGCACCTATTGAAAACTATCTATATTTGAAAGACGTAGGATAGCATTAAAAAAATGATCTAAAATTTTCCACAAATAGTCTTAAAGACATTTAGATAATTAATTAATAATAAACTAATTGATTAAAATTTATTCCTCCTTTTTGCTACAGAATGGAGAGACATCATCACGGCCACTATCTACCATCCAGTCATGAACCCATGGAAGTTGATCTGGACAACAATACAATCCAACCAATCCAGCCTGTGAACATCAGACTGCCCACATATAGCCGCCAGTCTAGCCCTTCTCCATTGAGATTGTCCAGACATAATGCAGAGGAACAGCCGCACTTTGGTACTTCACCACTGAGGACCCTAAGGGATCGTGCGAGTAGGCCATATCCTACAAGGAGGCAAGTTAAGAGAACCAACCCACCCCATCTACAGACACTGCATAGAAGTGCCCCACAACTGACTAGTGTCCAGTCGAAGATGACAAAATCACCTACTAAGCCTGCACAAAAGACATCCATTCCACAGTCACAGATTCCATCACCATATGTTACCCGATCCAGTATTCAGTGCCCCTCTCCTCTTGTGAACCTGCAGCAGAATCCTAAATATCTGACAAGGTCTCAGGTAAAATTAGGGAAGCAGAGAAAGGATGATCATTGTGTACTTCATGGAAAGCTTGTTCTGAGGAAAGAAAAGCCCAAGGCTCCAAACTTCCAGTCCACTCCTAAGATACCAAGATCTCAGCTGGTCAACAAACTGGTTTCTCAAGCAACAGATGCAAAACCAAAGCAAAGTCTCTCCAAACTACTTGCCCAATCCAAATGCAGAACTCCCAAAAGGGGCAAAAACTCTTCCAACACACATGATCTCTCCACTGGGGCTAAGAGATGTATAACAACTGACAACTCTCCAGCCAAGAGCAAAAGGGGCAAATCAAGTGCAGCCAAGAGCAAAAGAGGCAAATCAAATGCAACCAAAATTAAGTGTGAACTAAAGGATGCAGACATCAAGAAGACCAAGCAAGGTGGAATAATGACAAGGATGAGAAATTTAGCATCAAGCATCCAGCAGAGGTTCTCTAAGAAAAGAAAGCAAGGTCAACAGGATTTGGATACAGCAAACTCTTCCACTTGTGATGCTCCACTTGAAGTTGTAGATTCTGAGCAGAAAAGAGTACGTTTTGCAGGGACTACTGAAGCAATGGACACTTCATTGCCTGTTACCTGTTTTGGGAGCTACAAAGTAAAAATAACAAAAAAGCCTCTCAAATCAGATGGAAAACAAACCAAAAAGGTCACCATAGCCTTTCCAAGGAAATCCAAACAGCTGGATACAAAGAGCACTATCTCCAGGGCAAATCCTATGACCTCAACCCAACAGAAGTCCACATCAGTTAAAACCACTGCCTACTGTTGTGAAACCAAAGAACACACAATGGATGCCAATGTATCTGCTCCTGGAGAGAAGTCTTCTCAAACCACAGCTGATTTAATATCTGATAGACCCGTGTCTCCAACTGCCAACATAAAGTCTACACTACCACAGTCATCAAAGAAAACAAAATCCACACCAGCACCAACGTCAACACCAAAAGAAGGACTGGTATCAGTGACCACAAACCTGAAGACCCCTAGCAAGGCAGCAATGAAAAGATCCAATAACTTCAAAATACTGTCTCCTTCCCCAATGATTTCACTTCCAAATGCTACCTCTCAGACATCAACAGAAGCACTGGGGACATCACCTAAAGTATCAACAATAAGAAAAGGGGAGCCAATGTCAATTTCATCACCACCATCAAAGGATTTCGAGTCAACAACAACCCTGCCATCAATGTCTGCAGAAGAGTGTTCAAAGTTCACAGCAGAAACATCATTATGTTCAAAACAGACAGCATCAACATCATCCAAAGAAGCAATTTCTTTACTACCTGTAAATCGAGGAGTAGTGCCTTCAACAGAACTCCAAGTCCAAGACATTGCAACCACAAAGCCACAATCAGCAGGAAACGTGGCAGAAAATTCATCTGAGATGTCTTTGTCCACCAGAGCATCACTGTTAACTTCCTCTTTGGAGATGTTGCAACCAGTTCCAACTATGGCAGGTGCAAATATTTCATCATCAACAACAGTAGCATCAAAGCCAGTGCCTCCAGAGCTCCTAGCCTTAAACCTTATGCCTTCACAATCAATGGTTTCAGCACAACCTGACCAAGGTTCTTCAGCAACTGTGCCTCTTGCTGTTTCACCATCAGATTTTCACCAAGCAGAGTCTTATCTTCAGAAAACTGATTCACAAGGAAAACATCCAGCAATGAATCCAGTAAATCAGTGCCAGATTATAGACCCATCAACTAAACATCAGGCTATCAAAGATATAGGAAAAGACCTGCCACAAATATCCACTCAGCTCCCTGTTATTTCATCAGCATCAGCCATGTCTACTACTCAGCAGCAGATAGACTTCACAGTGAAAAATGTGCAAAATGTTGATCCAGTCTTCAGGGGCCTGTTTACCCAAGCAGCTTCAACTTCAGTTTTACATCCTGTATCCTCCTCTTTACCTACAATGATTGCATCTTGTCACATGAACAACTATATGGCTGGAACCAATGGAATCATGCCATCAGCTTTAACACAGAGGATGACTTACACAACTCCAGCTGAAAATGTAATGTCTACCATGGCCGAACCATCATTCAACAAACCATCATGCCTCTATGAGGGTGCAGCATTCACTAGACTTAACCCATCCATGGCAATTCAGGAATTGACCAGGCCTCTGTCCATCATGATCCCAGATTACAATCCCACGTACAGAATGAACAACTATAACTCTTCACTCTACAAACACTTTGGTACTTTCCACAGTAGCTACATCCAGTATGGAACTGCTAATCCAGTGATGACACAAACAGCACTGCCAAGGTTTCAACAAGAACAACCAAATATTTCAACATGGTATTCCAATCTACAGTCATGTCCAGAGGACTTGTTAATGCAAAGAAAGGTTCATGAGGAAAGGGCTTTTGGACCTCCAGATCTGATGTGCCATGAAACTCTTGAAGACAACGATGAAGTATGCCAGGCCACAAGGAAAGAATTGATGACACAGACTGCTCTATCCATACCAAGTGAAATTAGTCTTCCTGTGTTGTCAATGGATGACCTTGTTGATGGAGGAATAGCACTGTCCAGTTCCTCAAGTAAAGCCGCTTCTTCTCAGGAAACCAGTGGTATTGTTAAAGAATGGAGTGCCTCCAGCCATCTTGATTCATCCAAGGATCAGACTCTCTCATCTTTGTGTAGTCAACCCTCAGTCTCCCAATTGCAGAGGAAGCCAACTCAGCATGGAAAGAAGACAAAATTGGTGATTCCCAGTATTCGCAGCAACCAAACTGAGACAAACCTTAACATGGACATGTGCTCAATAGAGGGATTACTACAAGTGCCAAAGTCAAAGAAAAGACTCTTCACTGATGATGCTACATGGCCAGAAAGAAAAAGGCAGAGGACTTCACCTAGAAAGCTTCCACAATCAACCAGTATAAAAAGGGCCCCTAGTCCCCAGCCAGCCTGGACGGAGAATTGTTCCGATTGCATTCATGTAGAGAGAATCCTAGGGGATAGACCATACACTCTTCTGAATAATGTCAACAGTCTCGTATTTTCCAGCAAATCCACCAAAGAAATCATCAACGAGTACTATGATTCTCCCATTTTCTATCGATCCAGAGGAAAGCCACACCTAGTTGCAAGAGATCTTGTGTGGCGTCTCTTCAGTGTATTAGAACTGTATGGAAATCGCTTCAACACTCTGGATTCTTCTATCACTGATGCTATTCATCTAAGTGTTCTGGACAAAACCCAGTGTAGTGAACAGACTTGGAGAAGAAAATGCATCTCTTTTGTCAACCGCTCCATTCAGCATTTCTTCCGTGTTCATTTTCGCAGGTTTGAGGCCTATCTCAAACACCGGTGTGATCCTAGTCTATGTTAAAAAACAGAAGTGACAATGTTTGAGTCAGTGTAGAAAGACTTGTCTAGGCAGGATTCCTTAATGAACTGAATAAACTTGAAACATTCTTCCTTACTATTGTGTTCAGCAAATGGTTTGACTGTATTAAATCCATCCTTGGTGTCAATTGATAAGGAAACCGTATTGATGATTACATGGCAGAATATGCTTAATTTGCATTTTATCATTCCCTTAATTGTGTCTGTCATGTTGATTGTTGATGATTTTAATTGTTGCCAAAACTTGCAATATTGTGATTTTGTTTGATTCTATCATGTTGATTATTGTTGAAATTAACTCTGAATGTTGTGATTTTGTTTTACTTTTTTTAAAACATTGTTATAATGTTTATTCCATAGTTTAGGGTTTTATCCACAACAAGTATTGTGTATAGAGATGTTTGATAATTTTAATGTTCCTCACTTTTATCATTACATTCCCTTTTCTGTCATTGATTTTATAACATGAATTGTTGCCAAAATCTCAGGGTTGTGAATTTGTTGGACTTTTATTTTGATAGATGTTTATTCTGTAGTTTAGTTTTCCATCCATAAGAGGTATTATGTTTGGAGTTGTTTGTTATTTATTTATTTTTTTTTTTGACATGCAAATGATCTCTAATTAAAAACAATTAAACAAATTAGTAGTCTACTATTTTTATTCAGAGGAGGCAGCCCTTGAATGTGGCATATACTGAGATATATACATGTTTATACATATGTATATCTATTCTGAGTAAGGGAAAAATAGTTGAAAATCAGCAAGTTTGAAAATCTTCACAGTTTTGTGACATAATTTATACACAGTTTTAAGGGTTTTTTTATTAATTTCAAAGCAAACCTCAAATTTTCCTGAAGTAAATTGATGATCATTAGGCCCACACAGAATAATTGTCTGTTTACAATCTTGAGAACAATTAAAATAATGATCCGAGTAAATGTTCTCAATACTAATACATAATATATGGGAGATAATCAGAAAGTGGTCCATGTCTGACACTCATTGTATCAAAACAAATTGTCTTTGTATTGTTAGTAAAATTTATGCATGAACATAACATATAATAAATGTTTGTCAGTTGTGGTCCAAAGTGAGAAAAAGAACAGTTGGTGTTTATTTAAGGAATCCCTGTGTAAGTTAGTTGGGTATATGCCAGGGCATCAACGACAGTTGGAAACATGGGATGATTTACAGAACGGGTGATTCCGCCCTACCTGAAGGGTCATGATTTGAACAAACTTGAATCTACACTACCTGAGAATGCTTTCTTATCAATTTGACTTTTCATGTCTTTGCTGTTCTTTACAAAAGATATTTTCCTTATATTCCTTTGTAAAAATTTGATCACCTAATGATGCCCCACCCTCTACCAAGGGAGCATGAATTGAACTAATTTAATCTACACTCCCTGAGGATGCTTCCATATCAATATGACTAGTCATGCCTTTGCTGTTCTTGAGAAAAAGATTTTATAAGATTTTTTCCTCTAGTATGTATTCTAGTAAAATATCCAAATATGAAACAGATGTGTCAGGCTCTGTGGTATCTTTTATTTCAAGCCCACTGGGATATATTGAGTCAACATATGAATAGAAATAACTATTGTTAATTGATAGTAGGTCGTTGATATATCTAAATGTCGAGTTGAAGGCCAAAGGAAATGTTTACTTCTTCTCATGTAGAAGTTTTTGAATAAATTCTGCTTCATATGAATACAAAAATAGGTCTGCTAATAAGGGTGCGCAATTGGTACTCATGGGAATATCAACAGATTGTTGGAAGACCTGGAGACCGTTTCACTAACAAATCGTAGATCGTAAACGTACGATTACGTTTACGATTATTTTACGTGAACGTATACGAGCGTTTCACAAAACATGTCGTAGACGTAGCACTTACCATAAGCGAGTTACGACCAACTTATTGGAACTCTTCTGACTGAGGAGGTGTATTTGTGGAAGAGAAAGAAAGAAAAAAGAAAGGAAAAGGTCATAACTAAGTAAAAAAAAATCACCATGTATTTTTCTCAGTCTTCAATAAGAAATAAAAGGACAATTAATTAATGGATAATCGTTTACTAAATAAATTATATCTATATTCATACTATAAATAAAATTAAAAAGTTCCTTTTTAACCGAGATCAAATTATATGTATCAATTATTTAAATTTGTTCTTGAATTTTATGTCTTATAATTAAGAAGTATAGTCCACGATAATGGAATTCTATATACAGCAACCCAACAAAAATCCCTTGACAAGTAAATAGTATGGTCACAGACGTCATTAATGAGAGAAAATAACTGTATAGTATATGCTCGCAATGCATTGTGAATACCCTAGCCCCCCCCCCCCCCCACAACCATCACCACCAATGCTTCTACAGACCTGACATTATCCATTAATTCGATTTAAATAGGACACAAATACATGTACTTTTCATATAGGGTAAAAAGAAACACTAAAAGATATTACATGTACTAAATATTTTACCCTATGCAAAAGTTATGTTATTAATATTATGAGATTTAATAATAGTTCTAGTATAAACACATAAACCAACAAATGTTACCCAAGACACCACTTAAAGTTTGTCGTATGTGAACACCCCCCCCCCACCCCCCCCCCCCCCCCCGTCAAAAATCGAATCTGTCTGCAAGACAATGTGGGATTTGAATTTTTTTATGAGGAAATAATCCTTCTTCCGATATACATCGCCTTCACAGTTTAAAAATTCCTGAATCTGCCAATTCTTGTTATTATTGTAAGAACTATGCACACTAACTTTAGATTCTGGCATCCATTTAATTCAACAATATTAATGGCAGTTTGACCATTAAAACTTGCTTGAATGCAAAGAAGAGTTTATTAGTAATGGATTGATAATTTTAAAACCAGTGTCAAAAAGTTACTTGCCTTTATATACAACTCTTCTCTTAAGGGGGGGGGGGGGGGGGGGGGTTGAAAATTTTATCAATCGAAATCGGGTTTTAAATCATAGCCAGATTTTCAAATACTGATGAAAACAGATATATAACCATCAAATCTCCGTATGTTAAACTTATGTAAAAGTTAACATATTAGATTGATAAAGTGCATTTTTTAAATTTACAATCTCGTTAAAATTAGCAAGAAAATGTCTATTTTTGCTGCTTTGAGTCTGTAAACATATGTTTACTATGTTCAACAACACCCCCCACCCCCACCCCCCAACACTCCACTCCCCTGAAACAAGAAAACCATTGGTATGAATTTGTGAAATAATTCATAATACCTGTAAAAAGGAGTTGTTGTTTCACGGGGGGGGGGGGGGGGGGTAAAAATATAGTGAAAATCACAGTTTTACAAAATTTATGGTCTTATCTCTCTTATAACAGAATAGGCAATATCATCTATAAGCAGTAGCAGTTGGAAGTAAGCAGTGAGCAGTTGGCAGTAAGCAGTTGGTTGTCGTATATGGAATTCCATACCCTAGGCAAAAGTTATTATAATTTTCAGTAATATTTCTAGTATAAATACGTATACCAACAAATGTTAATCATTAAGACCCTTAAGGGGAAATACTCATTCTTTCGATTTACTCCTCCCTCCCCGTCAAAGTCCCTAAATCAGCAATTGTTTGTAAGAACTACAAACGCTAACACTAATTCCCGTTTACATTTTGCATCCATTTGATTCAATATCAATGGAAATTTGGCCATTAAAACTTTTATCAATTGAAATCAGGCTACAAAACCTCACCAGATTTTCAAATTTTCATGGAAATGGATTAATGACTATTAATGTTTCATTTATGTAAAATTCAATATATCAGATAGATGATAGATAAAGTACATTTTTTACTTGTTATCTCATTTGAAATTGGTAATAAAATACATATAACTATTTTTATTGTTGTTGTTGGTAAACCTTTGGTATGAATTTGTGAAATAACAAATCATAATACCTGTAAAAAGAAATTGTTGTTTCACAAAAGGGTGTGTGTGTGTGAAAATAAATATCCATTTTCCGTTGATTTGTATAGTGATAAACACAAGTTTCACCAAAATTATAGACCTTACTCTCTTCGCTTTTCCAAATAAGTTGTTTTATGAAAATTCATATAAATGTCTACATAAATATAAAAACTAGAAATATGTCCATAGGACATGAATGCCCCGCCGAGGGTATATTAGTAATGCAACATATTAACACAAATTGAGAAAAGTGAGGTCAAGGTCAAAGGAAAGGTCAAGGTGAAAAAATATTGATGCAGTTGAATAGCTTACATTAGTATGTATCAGCATATGAAGTTTGACAGAAATTTAAGAAAAGTGAGGTCAAGGTCAAATGAAAGGTCAAGGTCAAAAAAAAATGTTTATGCAGTTGAAAGGTTTCATCGGTATGTATTAGCATATGAAGTTTGATAAAAATATTATGAATGGTTTTAAAACTAAGCTAAACACTAATTAAAGAAAAGTGAGGTCAAGGTCAAAGGAAAGGTCAAAGTCAAAAAATATTGATGCAGTTGAATAGCTCTCATCAGTATGTATCAGCATATGAAGTTTGATAACACTATCTTGAATGGTATCTTTAAAACTGAGCTAAACACTTATTTAAGAAAAGTGAGGTCAAGGTCAAAGGAAAGGTCAAGGTAAAAAATATTGATGCAGTTGAATAGCTCTCATTAGTATGTATCAGCATATGAAGTTTGTTAAAAATATCTTGAATGGTTTCATTAAAACTGAGCTAAACACTAATTTAAGAAAAGTGAGGTCAAGGTCAAAAGAAAGGTCAAAGTCAAAAAATATTGATGCAGTTGCATAGCTCTCATCAATATCTATCAGCATATGAAGTTTGATAAAAATATCTTAGATAGTTTCTTTGAAACTGAGCTTTGAACAGAGCTAAACGCAAAGTGTGACGGAAGGACGGAAGACGGACATGACAAACACTATATGCCCCGGCCATATTCATGGCGGGGCATAAAAATCATTCAAATATGCTCAAAGGATTTATTCAAGCATGCGTATTAAAGATATTAAGATA